TGTTTCTTGAAGGCAGTATAGTATTAGAAATTGTTTATATTTGTTTCTTGAAGGCAGTATAGTATTAGAAATTATTTATATTTGTTTCTCTGAGACAGTATGGTATTAGAAATTATTTTTATTGGTTTCTCTGAGACAGTATAGTCTTAGAAGTTATTTTTATTTGTTTCTCTGAGGCAGTATAGTATTAGAAATTATTTATATTTGTTTCTCTGAGGCAGTATAGTATTAGAAATTATCTTTACTGTAAGTTAAATTTTCTTGTTTTTAACATAAATTTTCCTACAAATTAAAATTGATTAGTTCTCCAATTCTCTGTGAAATTTGTATTTGTAATAAAAAAAAATCTTAACATTTATCACATTCACGATATTTGGTGCAGCAAAATGTGTGACATCAAACATTGCATACTTTGTACCAAGGAATACAAGTTTAGAACAGGTATGTCATATGCACCTCTGCCTTGATGTAACGAGATAATACTAAAAATGAGGTTGTGTTATACAGGATTTGATCACGAATGATTACCCCACCAACCAGTTTTTACGTTAACACAGTATTTATAATGTGTTTGGAGTAATTGTGTCGTATGGGTATTTTGCAAAGGAAAATTTGATCAGTATGATAAATTACTATAACCTGAGTGAATTAATTTTAATTTATGCTGTTAAACTGCTAACTTAAAGTTATTCATTAATTTTATTTCTGCATCAAATCTCCATTACGAGTGCTTACATGAAATTCATCTTATCGTGAAAATTACTCTTTTTACTTTTTAAGTTACACAAATTTAATTGATTTTTGAAGGGATATGGTAAATGTTTCCATATTTTTATTGAAAATAGTATTAATAACTTTTGACAGTGAAGAAATTAGTAGAAACTTCATGCATGCTTTGAATCAAATATTAACAAAGTGTATTACATTGTGTCTTTCTGTAGAAATGAAAAGTTGAGGCATATTAGGCCAGGGCAAATCAGTCCTATGTTGACAGTTCATTACAACTCACTTGTGAAATTAGTAAACATGATTAGAGAAATAATAAATTTGAAAATCATTGAAAATTAAATCTGAATGTTTTTTTCTTCTCCACTCTAATTTTAATGCCCAAAGTGACACGAGATACACAAGTAATCAGTCAGTAAACACGTGAAAATTATAAGGCAGTTGTTTTCACAGGAACGAATAAAATCCTCCACCAGATTTGACTGATTAGCACCACAAAGACCAATTCTCATTAAAAAAGTAGAATGCATGACCGTATCATGTTATAACGTGAGTTGTGTTATATTGAATCATCAGTGTACTTCATATTAGTTAATGAATGTATAACTTTGAGTTTACCAAGTGTGAATTATTAACTGTAACTTGTAATGTAAAACGATGACTAGCAATGGTTTAGAATGTCACAGAATCTCATGTGACTTTAGATAGTGAAGCTTGTATATCTTGTTCACACAAGAACTCCAAGCAAATGTTTTATATGACGACAAAAACTGTTTAAAAACAGAAAATTAAAGAAACTGTCTTCAGTAAAAACTTGCCATCAGCATTCTTTAAACTTCTTAAACTTATGGCATTTATATCTGATTTTTTTGTCCTCAGTAAGCCAACTATTTTTTGTCTCTTTTTTTTTTTTAGGAGCAAGCCTCTCTCAAATCAAAAACAATTTTAAACATTTTTCCAATTTGCTTCACAACACCTTTTAACTCGCTAATGATAAATCTTGTCTCAAAATACAACTTTATGAAAAAAATTTCTTTCTGTTTTATCCTGAACAAAAACAAAGTTAATTATGCAATAATTACTCTTTCACAAATGTCCCTTTACTTTAATTATTGCAACACTATTATCATTAGTGGTTATCAATAAATAAAATGGTATCCTATATGGTTGGCTTTCTGTCCATTTGGTACAGAGAAACCATCCTAAATTTTTTCCTTCACCATTGGACTCCATACAATTCTTATCAGTGTGTAAGATATTAGTCTCCCATGAATATTGCATCGGTATTCTTATTAGTAACAACCTTGTTATTATTGTAAAGTTTATCATTGACATTATTTGTTTGATCAGGTGGCCTATAACATTTCCCAATTAAAAACTTTCAACCATTAAAACCACTGGTTGTAAATCTTACAGTTTCCAACTATTTTGTCTTCAGTCTCAACAGGTTGCAGGTCATCCCTTGTATAAAGATCCCACCACCACATCCTAAATTAGAGCAACAAGTAACGTTATTTTTGAGTCTACTGTGTTTATCCTTAAATCTGTCAGACTTTTATTTAAAACTATTTAAGTCCTAAATCTCCATTTACAATCTCCTTCTTGTTCCAGTTATCATATCAACTTGTTTATTCCTACTTCTTGCAACACTATGCAAGTTTAAACTATTTGTAATGAATATACAACTTTCCCAAACATCCTCCTGCCTAACCTACTTTAGTAGAACCTATTTCTAGCACATAATTCACCCTTATCCTACAGGTCCAACCAGCCCACCTTTAAGTCTTGAATCTTCCCAAGGGAGCACTCCCAAAAGGACCACATCTTTTTATTTCCATCCCTAAACTTCTGAAGGAGTTTTTAAGTAAGCTACTATTTGTAAGATAGCAGTTTCTGTTTTATTGTTAGTAATAATGTTTTTTATAGATAGCATATTTTTCTTTCTATTGTTTGGTTTATCTATATTTTTATTTGCCTTAAATACTAGCTTACCTTCCTCCTAGTGTATATTAAATGAGTGATTTTATATTAAGACACCAACTAGAAGACCACCTAGTGGTGATGTATGGACACTGAAGTTCATGTTTAATTATGTAAAACAAATGTTATTTAGTTAGTTGTGTGATGTGTAATTTTGTGGACTAGGAAAACAAAAAGTCTTAAGACATAAAGTTAGAATGACATGGAAGATACTTGACTTGTTAAAAGATATTGCAAGGTGGCTAGGTATTTCAGCAGCAGTAAATGCACACATTTCCTATATACTCTTGACTCCAAAGTCTGTGAATTGTATCAAAGCTGATAAGATACACAGAACATATAGTGCAAATTACAGTTATCAGACTGATTTTTAGTTTCAGTGTTGTAAAAACCACTACAGTTATGAGTAATATCATTGTTCATTTTATTTTTGTGAAGAAACATTTGATAAAATGAATATGTACTTTCTTCATGCTAATGTTAATATTTAGTGATCATTAGCAAGCTGTGCATCATTATCTTTTTTGATACTTAAAAAGAAATTTCATGACAAATTATGTTAATGAAAGTATAAATCAAGGTTCTTTTATCAAAAAAAAAGTTTAGAGTAAATCATTCAGTTGTTTTTCTATTTTCAGTCGAGTGTGTTCTAACTCGCATGGTCTTATTCGAAAGTATGGACTGAGTATATGCAGAAGGTGTTTCAGGCAGTACGCCAATGATATTGGATTTAAAAAGGTATGGCATATTTATCATGAGGCTTGTTTATAAATGTTTTTTTAAAACATGTCCAATTTACAGGAATTTAAGAAAATTTCTTGTTGATTATTTTTCCTCGTGTTAGGAACTAATCGAGCGTGGCAACACTCAGGATTTGTTTTCTGTGAAAAGTAACTATAGTTTTGTGCATCAGAAAAAACCGTATACCCTGAACACTTTTGGAAAGTTGAATTTCCTTTAACAGGAATTAATGGGGAAAAAAAAGTCTCCTTCACATATTCTTCATCTATTCACCAACCTTGTTCTGACATGTCTTTTTTTAATACAAGTAAAATTATATGAATGTTTTGTAGTTAAGAGTTCACATTGTTTAGAATTCAGTAACATGGGTCTTTTATAGCAAATACATTGTGATATCTATATTATTATAATGAACTGGTAACTTGCTTATTTTGATGATGTTGCTAAAAAGATATATTTTCAAGTTCATCTGGATGCCTGACTAGTCCCTCTGGATATATTTCAGGATTTTTGAAATGGTTTAACATTTACTTTCAGTAACATGTGAGTTAATTACTATAGATGTTAAAATAATAAAACTTGGTATTACATTTAGTGTAAAAATGAATCTCGTATTTGTTTATCCACAGCTGGATTGAAATAAGCAGTCAATGAAACTCACTCCAGAATGTTACCTGTTCCAGAAGGAACTTCAGCATGATTTTATATTATCAATTTGTACAGTATCTTGTTGAATAAAGAACTTCTGGACTACTTTATGTTTGAGATTTCTCAAATTTAAAAAGTTGATTAATCTATGTGTTTTTCAAGTGCTTTAATTACTTTTTGCATAGCGTATAGCATTTTTCTGAGATTATGAGTGTCATTTCACCACATAGGTTCACATAACATACAGCTAAGTAAGATGTATTAAATCTCATATTATTTTACTTGGGAAAATAGAGTAAAACAAATAAATGTCTTGTGTGCATAAAAATAATACTGATACAATTTTAGATAGATAATTGAGGCAAAGTCTTTGTGAGAATGTGCAAGATTTTAGCAAGGCAACTGTATCACCCCCTAATTCACACAACAGATGTCAGTCATATAAGCAAAGATATGAATTTTGTTTCTTTTATATTCTTACTCTCTGAAGCTTGATATAAAGTTCCTAAAGTGAAAATCTCTTAGCAGTATGCACCAAACACTAACAGATTTACAATCTTAATTTTGAAATGAATCTGGAAAAAAAGCACAAAATATTAAGAATTTTAGTTTGATAAATTTCTATTAAAATAGACCAATAAGGTGTTTGACCCAAATAGCAGTAAATAAGAATTTTAAATTTTGCAAACTGTAAATTACACATTTTGAGATGTGTTGTTTGTTAAATGTTTATTCTTCACAAGTTCCTTGTGGAAAGTATACATGTATTTCATGGAATTAAATCTCTAGTTTTTAACATGGAATGTAGAGTTAGATAAATACAAAGAAGCCTCAACTTTTATGTTGCTACAGTAAACAGTCAATTTAATAACATTCTTCAGAATCATTTACAATATCTCTAGTGTTCAATGGAATAACTAAAAAATAGTTTTGGATGAGCATTAATGAAGTTATACATTTAAAAACTTGTCCAACAGTTTACAAACCTCTTTGTTCGTCAAATCCAATTTCATTATTCTAAACACAGCATTGTCTTTTAAGATGATCTTCACCAAGTTCACCAAACATATACACAGAACAATGGTCATGAACTTCAAGTTATTGGTCAGAAATATATAACTACAGGGTCTAACAGGTCTACCATAATAAGTCTAAGTTTCTTGTTCAAGATGTTTTGATCCATTTTCATCATATTATCAAAACCAGCAAGAAATCGTGAGCTGATGAGATGTATCTAATCATGGTGTCTAACAAGTCCACCATAATAAGCTGTAACAGTCTTAAGTTTCTTGTTCAAGATGTTTTGTTCCACTTCCACCATATTACCAGGACCAGCAAGAAATGTTAACTGTAATAGTAAAATATTATGAATGACAATTCTCTAAAAATTACCAATTGAATATATAATAACTAAACTTTTTTTTTCTAATTTAGTATTTACATTTAATTAAAAAGTGATTTAATTATTAATGAAAAATTCATCTTTATACCCTTATTTTCTTAGGCTAGGTTTATTGTACTAATTGGCCTATAATTTATAGGGCAAATTATCACTCCCTTTAAAAGTAGGAGGAATTTTCCAATCCTCAAACACCTACAAAAGGTGAAAGAGACTTGTATCTGTTCTTTGACCTCATTCAAAACCCTGGGAAAAATGTTGTGTGGGCCTGATGCTTTATTTTCAATTTCTTTCTTTCTTTCTACTTACCACTGATATCTGCATGATTTAGGTAATTCCAATATTTCCCATAAAGTGCTCAGGGTCAAGAATGTTACAACTATTTTCTTTAGCAACGAACTTCAACAATACTTTCTGACTGCAGTTCAATTACTCACTACCTACACACACACATTGTTTTCGTCACGTTGTGACCATCTTATATATACCAGACTACCCTATATCTAGTAATCTCCCGACAATTCACGAAGGTTCGAGAGAAGTGGCGTGACACTAGTCACGTGACCTCGCTGACGCAACAATATAGTATCTGACGAACAAGAGCAGATTGGCCTTAAAGGACCAGCTTAGGCAATATCACATGCTGCATACTTGCTAAACAATTAACATTTAAAATCAGTTTCTAAGAATGCGTCAAATGAACTGGCCTACTGGTATCCAGATGGGTCAAATCGGTCCCTGCAGACGGATCTCCTGTTCTTTCGTTTTCTGAAAAGAATATATTTTGTTCATCAATTATGTTTCACGATCTGTAGATATTCTTGCTTTTACATACAGTATTTTACAGCTCATTGTCGTATTGTTATTTTTAAAAATTGTCAAGTGTTTTATTATGTTTATATAATAAAAACTTTCTTTAACCAATATTAGTAATTATTGTTGTATTTTAATTCATTTGAATAGTGAAAAAAGTTATAATTCAATGAACCCCCTCGGTGGCTCAATGGAAAGTCTGATAACCTTAAAAATCTGGTTTCCATATGTATGACTGGGAGAGCTCAGATATCCCCCTTTTTAGCTTTGTTTTAACATCAAACAAACAGATTCATTGAAAAAAAAAAAGGAATTTTGTTAAGAGCAAACAATAATAAGGGAGTTTTACACAATACCAGAGCCCATCAGGCTGACTGGAGTACAGCAAACATAGTAGTGATCGGTACACTATCTATTTAAGTCATATGAATTGATACGGTATACAGTTTGGTTGAAATACTTCTCGGACTGACGATGTTGACTGAATGAAGACTGCAGGGTTTAAAAACATAATAAATGTAATACTATTTCTTATGGAAAATATATTAAATAAAACTACAAGTTAGATAATTTGTTAAAAAGTATTACAATACAACATTAGGTGACACCACATGCAAAATTCATACGTTCTTTCTTTGTATTGTAGCCATTATTAGAGGATACGAGTTGTTAAGATGGGGCATCAAAATATATGGTATTCTCATCCCAGAAAATACGGTCCAGGTTCGCGATACTGGTAATTGTTTTTTGTTTTTCTCAAATAGTCAGAATTAAAATTTGTTTCATGCTTATTCAAAAGCAAGTATGAACTTTTTCAAGATTTTGAATGCTGTTACTGGTAATGGAATATTACAATATTAGGCTTAGGTCTCTGTAGTACTGTTAAGACTGATCAAGGGTCACTGTTAGTGTTAATTTACAATTTTGTAAATAAATAACATGAATTTAATGGCTAGGTACAATTTTATATTGGTGGTTGATTCAGACTGAATTTTAATTATTTAAATTTGCATAATGAATATGTGTGTGTGTGAAGCATGTCAGGTGTGTACAAATTGACATATTATGCACATTGATACGATTAAATAGAATTGAGCATCTACAGAAAATTGTAACTAGTTACGTGGCTTATGCAAAGTAGGATCTCTCCTACTAATAATACTGGTACTACCACTAGTACCAAGTAGGCTTACCAGTGTCAACATTGTGCTTGGTATTGATTGTGGCTGATTTGCACTTGTACAAGTTAATGGTGAACCATTATAGTTAGCAATACATTTATGAAATTAAGACATAGTTTACAAAAAGCATTGTGAATACTCTAATGTTTAAATTACAGAATTCACTTGGTACCAGAAATTGTTTTAAAATATAAACATCCAGTCTGCAAGTTGATGAGACTTAATTTTTGTGGGCTACACAGGTGTCATGACAGTTAGCAAATATCTTGTTTACCCCAGTGAAGCTGTAATAGTGAAATGTTCGCTTAAATAAAAAGAGCCTTGTTTTCTGGAGCAATAATGCAACTACAGTTTGCATTACAAACTTGTAACTCTCAATTCCTATTTGTTATTAGTGATTATGTTGGTTAACCTTCATACTTTATAGTGTCTGTAATACATGACTTATGATGGCTTTACAAAAGGATGAAAATGAAAACTTGTGGAAAGCATTTTGGATTGTAGAACTAATTATTTAAAAATTTAAATAAAAGGTTGTATAACATGCTATGGCCTTGTGGTATATATTAACATCAGACTGACAAAAGAACTTGTAGTTATGAACGATGTGTTATAACAATTTAGATGCTGATAAGCTTAAAAGGTCTTGGAAAACTGCTTGGTAGCCCTAGAATTTTATCAAATTAAAAGTATGAAAACCATGACAAAAGTTTTGAAAATCTAAGTATACCAATTCCACACTGAATCCATAGTCCAGATAACATGTAATGTTTCTGACTATAATTTTTTCCATTGTTATAGCGTTTGTTATAGAGCGACTGTTGAAAATAAGTGTATCGGTAAAGTTGTATTCAGAAAGAATAAACCAGTTTTATTAAGAAAGGACTTGTGTCGCTAAAGTTTCGTGGGAACGAAGTTACGGAAAATCAACTAACGACTGGAGGCGTAACAATATTTTCCAGATATGGTACCATCGGATTACCATCTTTTTCGTTCGCTGCAACACCATCTTAATGGGAAAACGAATGCAAATGTGGAAGGTGTTAAACAGGACATCGATATGTTTTTTGCTTCTAACCCAAGTGATTTCTTTAATCAGGGCATTAACAACCTGACTGTAAGTTGGAAAAGCATCATCGATAAGAATGGGACTATTTCAATTAATAAAGGTTTTGTTTTGATATATAAGTTGTTCGGGTTTTTCATCTAAAAAAAAGCGACATTAATTTCTTGACGACCTAATACTAAACTTTTTATGGTTGTTATGGAAGGCAAATCATGCACTTTATAAAGCATTGCTTAAGGCCTAGGAATATCACTTGTACGGTTCTTGCCAGGAAGAAGAAGTTAAAAATATATGTCTCATGTTGATAACATCTTTTTATTTCTGAGCCCATGATGAAATTAAATTACAAAGCGTCTTTAATAATAAGACATTATTTAAACGTAAATTTGAATTCGTATCACAAGTAAAGCTTGACGTGCTATGATTCAAGGCTTAACGTCATTGACACCATTATATAGTGGAATCAGGACTAATAGGGACGAGCTTATACAAGACATCAAAGTATTAATGTTCATGAGACACTAGTAAAAAAACTAGAAAATCATCATGCTATTCGCTGGTTTTCTAAAATACTTTCATAATGATTGCCAAAACTATCAACAGCAAGTGATAAAAGTAGAAACACGATATTATGTTACCTTTCTTT